CTGGTAGCTCGGCGGGGATACGCCCACCGAAGGGAGGTGACAGCTCCCGTAAGGTGTAGGTAAGTCGTGCCTCGCGTAGGCCCTATCCTGTCGTAGGGGCTCGCGAGAGGTATGGCTGGCGCACCCGGCCAGAGCGGCTTGTGCAAGCTCCATGTACATCTGCGACGAAGGGTCGTAGAGACCAACTCCTGCGTGATGCGGCCGGGAGGGTCCCGCGCTGCCCCCGTGCGGTGCCAGACCGATCGCGCCCGACACCGCTACTCTGTGGTCCGAAAAGTTCACGCATAACGTCACCCCTACTTCTGGACCTTCTACACACAGTTGATTCTAAACTAGCACTGTCCTTTATATCCCTGCAAGCCTCGAGAAGGAATTCCTTGCAGTCTTTTTCGGCAACACCCGCTGCCTCTGCAACGAGTCTTGCGCGGGAGCCCAATACGGGCACGACTACCCTTCTGGGAGGGCCTCGAGGCTTAGTGTCCTCAGGAAACGCATCAGTGACATTGCGACGACCAGTGCCTCCAGCAACCAGGACTGACAACCTGGCAAGGGCAGGCGGCTCCTGCGACATGGGTGTTTGTCCACGAGTTCGTCGACCTGTACAAGAAATAGCCACCCAGACAGTTCAGTAGGAGATCAACAACACAAGTTCGCAAGAGCAACCAAGCAAACAACACCTCACGAAGCACATCGTCACAATCCAGTTGGCGGCCGCCTATACACCTCCCCGAAATCGACGAAGCAAACAACACTTCACGAACAGGCTGACGAGCAGGAAGAAAGCAGAGAAAGTCAGTGCTTACCAAGCCTAGCTACCACTTCACCAGAGCCCACCGACGACAGTCCCAGCACGATTGGCACCCCTGCACGCGTCGACGAGTCGACGACGTGCTCCAAACCCACGGGGAAACTTGACAGGCTCGAGATCTCGGCGTCGATGACCGTAGACGGTATATTCGTCTCCGGACAAAGATCGTCGACGTCCACAACATCGACAGGTTGTGTTTTTTCCATTGCCACTGTGTCGTATTTTGTTGGGCTCAATGTCCCATGGATGTCCAACAACACCTCTCCCCCCCTTAACTTCTTGTCCCCGTACGCTGTGTCTTTGCCGTCGTCACTCAAATAGAGAAATCTATCTCCAACAGCGTCAAAGGCTTTCTTCAGAACGTCCTCCCCCATCGCCTCGTTGTGAAGGGCGGAGTACAAGGGATCGTCGTATCCCGGTTGAACTGGTAGCTCCATCCCGACGTCGCTGAGTGTCGGATCAATCCGGTCGTCGGCGGAATTGTCCTTGTCCAAAGTCGTCAGTAGTTGACAACCCTCAACGCCTACCAGTTGAAGTCCGTCGTCCGTGTGCCTCGGATGAATCCGAATCACAGTCGTCTCCAAAGATGCATCAGGGAGGGAGATGTTCACAGGGCCCTGGTTCGGATTCATCCGAGCCCCCGCAGTTTCCAATGACGCCGACATGACCGCTTTCACCGGGGAGTCACGACTGCTAACTCGGCTCCGAATGTGTTGGGCTCGACATTGGAGCTGGTCGCCAACTCACCCTCAGTCCGACAGTCCACCTGCAGCTCCTTGTGGGCTTCCACGCATTACTGCATCCTGACACCGATCGTCTGTCATGGCAGACACGGCTTCCTGGTTCGGATGAATCCGAATTTCGTCGCCAGGGTTTTCGGAAACCCGGACCACCCGTTCGAGTTCTGTAGACAGCTGTGCTCGCTCGATGGCACGGTCTTCGAGGTTCGGATTAATCCGAAATTCCTTTTGAGGCGAAACGGAACACGGTTCCAGCTTGTTGTTGCCGGACCCGTGGTATGTTGTCGTCTCGCTTCCCGGAAGGCACTGAGTTCCGGACAACGAGGTCGTCTCCGAGGTTCAGATTGATCCGAGACAATCCGCCAACCGTTTTTGGAGTTGAGCGTAGCATGTTCCATGCTTTGCGACACCCGCCCCGCCAACCGCATTGACAAACTGTGTTTCGCTGGTGGAGCTAATCACAGGGTCCTGCTAGCCAGGCTGCGTAATACACCCAGGCCTCAAGTCGTTCCCCGTCTCTATGAGGGGGGTGCCTGTTACCACCAGAACCCCACCGTCCTCGTCGCGGTCGACATTGGACCCCTGCCCGTCTCCTCTATGATGCTTTGTCTACTCTCCGCTGAGAGGCTTCTTCTTCTCCCGGCTGCCCTTTTTCCCCTCTCCGCCGCCTGCGTGCCCCGGAGACCGTTATTTCGTCGAACGCTGTTCACTTCCACCTCCGGTACCTTGTTGCCCGCCGCCTTCACCATCCCCGTCGCCGTCCTTTCCGCGAGACTTGCGCTTCACAACTCTTGCCGGCGGGGTGACCCCAGGCAACTCGAACAACGTGTCCCCGTATTCGTGAAGAGCAGGGTCGTCCTTATTTCCTCGATTGACCTCACTTAATCTCTCCAATACCGCATCGTAGGCGCGAGATTTGAATGTCTCGAGGTCCCAACGATCGTCATATATCCACCATCCACTTACGTCCCTCACAGCCACTGCCCATTTGCCGTCGAGAAGGACTGGCTGGAAATGGTCTGGGTGCCACACGATATCATGGCCCCAATCTTCGACTGTGGAGAAGGTGTGTTTGTCGCCCATGTGGAAGGGAGTCGCAGGAGCCTTGAGATGCGGATGGTCCGGAGGAACTGGATGGCTGGGTCGAAGACGTTTGGGCTGTGGTGTGAGACGAATAGGCTCCCCCGGCAAACTCCTCAGACGGGACAACCCACCCCTCTTGACAGGCGCTGAGGAGGACACGGGCGTGGGACCGCCCGAGGTAGGTGTAGCGAGAGGTGTCCCCGGTTTGCATACTGATGGCGACTCATAAACTTGGGCGTTGAAGATGGCCAATTGCCCGTCCAAATCGAAGAGGTCGTCCTCAACTCTCAGTCTCGATATTGAAGTCGTCCTCCTCACCGAATGCCAGCTTGTACTTATCCAAAGTGAAGTCGGTCGGATCGACAACATCCTCGTTAAAAAAGACATATTCCAGCCTCTTAATGAAGCTCACAGCGCCTGCCCGACTCGCTCCGTGGTAGCCCTGGAGGACCGCAATGGCGACTTCCTTCCGCACCACGTACTGCGGGTCAAATCTCAACCTTGGTTGTTCGCCGTAAAGGAAGGAGTAGACCTGACGCCTTTTCTTCGGAGTCAACTTGAAGAACATGTCCTTGTTCGGGTCATAAACGGGCTCGACCACGACATGGTGGAAATCGGATGGGTAAGCCTTGGACGACACTTCATGGGTGACATACTGCACGGTGTATTCGACCTGCGTTGTGTCCCCATCCACGGCCAAAACGTGCCTTCCCTGCTGGAGCAGACTCCACACCACCTGCGCGTGCGGCTTGCCCAAGAACAGCACGGCATCCGCCACACCACAGAAGAAAAGAAGCTGATTGCACAACTGATTCGGATTCCGCTCGCCGTCCTTGTACAGAGCCCCCCTCTGGGTCAGGTTTCCGATGTCCGCGAAAGTCAAAGACTTGAAAGACTTCTCCTCCACATCCGTGGGTGTCACTTTCTGTTTCCTCCGGAGAGCGGCGGCGTCGTCTTCAGCAACAGCTCCCTCGTACACCGGGTGAGTCAGTAGCAGAGGATCCTCGCCTTTGAAAAGGATGTGCATCACATCCGGCTCCTCCCAGACGCTGTTTCCGAACTGATGCGTCTTCTTCGATGCCGATTTCCGAACCCACTTCCCCGTGTAGCATCCCAAGCGCAGACAAACATGTCATGAAGGAGAGGTTCCACAGGCAGGGGACGAATACCACCAATGTCCAGTAGTCCTGACAAACGAAGCCCAACAACTCACTCAGAGATGCGAATGCTCCAGAGTCCCATTGCGCACGGTCCACAGCACCGCACAAGTCGAGCACGCAAGTGTGGGAGCGTAGCTGATGCCCTTGTTTTCCCAGCGCATCCTTAATATCTCTGGCACTCAATGGGTCGACGTTAAACTGGGCCAGCGTCGTCAAGGCGCTTGTCCTTGTCCACATAATGTTGATGCATTCATCAATGCCCCGAGGACTTTTTTTGCCTTTGGCGCGATCTCCAGTGATCACCGAAAGGATGACAGACTTCCACTACGCCGAGAAATGCTGGTCGTTGACGAGGGCCGCCGTTCTCTTGATGTTGTTGTCGTGTTCACACCCGAGAAACCGAGGGCACTTGTTGACGTATGTGGTGTCCGTGAAGAATTTTCTGCTCTCATTCCAAAGCTTGTCGTCGAGACCTCTGTCCTTGAACTGTTCGAACAGTTGCTTCTTGGACCTGAAGAACATGGAGTTGGCATTCCACTCCCGCTTATCCATTTCCTCGTACTCGAACTCCACGTAGTGCCACAGCCTCAGCATAATCCGGTCCATTTTTATTATGTCGACCATCTCCTTGACACTGAACTTCCCCTGATCGGCCAACTTTTTTGCTACTCGTTTGAACCCACACGACGTTAAGGTTCAAGACGCCGCTCAACAACCTTTTCTTCTCACGGTCCGTCAAGTCCACCAATTCCTTCCAGCAGTGGACATCCGGCTCTAGAACTTGGACGTAGAAAGTTTTCTCCTCCGCGCCTTTCTTTGGCTTCCCCCTGCCCTTTTTCAACGACGGGTCGTGCACCTTCACGTACCAGACGTGTTTCTTCAGCCCCTGGCTGTCAGTCAAAGTGGAGAGTCCTGGCTTGGCCACCTCCTCATGGGTGGGCGGCTTTTTAGTCCAACGCCGGCCGTCGGAAGCAAGGAGTTTCCCCTTCGACCACTCCTTATAGAACTTCAACCCCAAAGCGAAGACGGAGTCTTCTGCCATGGCCAGCGGGAGGTAGTATCGAAGTTTCTCAGCCCATTCAGTTCTTTTCTTTGCTTCCATTGACAGGTTCCAGATAGGCGTGTACGGCGTCTTCTTCATTGTCAACGCCATGAACCGTACCCACTTTCGCACCTCGTCTTGTTTCTTCGAGGCATTGCCGAGCACCACACGCGGTTTGCCCTTAATTTTCCAGATATTGTGAATATCCCGCATAGACAAAACCTGCAAGCGTGGTGGATTCTTCTTGTCCTTCATGTTGTCTTCGCAGTTGACATGGGCGTAGCCGTCGAACTCGTCGTCAGGGAAGTAGATATGTCTGAACGGCCATTTACAGAAGTTGTAGTAATCAAACACGGGATGGTCTTTCACCATCATCGCCGCTCTCGCGTTATGCTGTCCACACACAAAATAATACCAGTATTTCTCCGGGTGTGAGTTGTCGAAGTCAGCAGGCAGCACGTGCACAGCAGGCTCGCCGTTCTCTGGAGGCGCGACGATCGGAGCGAGAACGAAAATGGGCTTCGTGTATCTCATGTCTTTGTGTTCGTAGCAGTCAATCATAGCCGACACGATGGTATCAACGAGGAACTCGTCCAAGGATCGGTGGTTGTGCGCGTCTTCCCAGTCTGGAATAGCTAATATTCTTTCGGGATGGATGTGCAACACGACGTCCTTCTACACCCCTGTCTGCATCTCGAGGAAGAACACATTGTTGAGGTTAAAGGCGTTGAGGTTAATCTCCACGTCGTCATCCCCCTCCCCGCTGTCGCCCTCGTCTGCTTTCTTCCCCCTTGATGATTTCGCCCTTTTCCCGGAAGACTCACCGGTTCTTCGCTGTGTCGACGAGTCTTTTGGCGTTTCATCCCCACCTCCAACCCTTTTCCTCTTCTCAATGGAACCGCCCTCTCGTGTTGTTGGCGTCCGAGCACTCCCTCCTACCTTTCTCTGCCTTTTCAGAGTACCTAGTCCCTCTCGCTCTTCCTCATCCGGCAAGTTGCGCTTGCCTCCCGACTCAGTCTTTTCAGCCGATCTCCTTCGGAACAGCCCCTGCTCGGACACTCCTCCTCACCGGCGACGTTCCCACTTGCTTCTTGTTCCTGGCTCAACTCCGTCTGCAGTTCCCCCGGTGCTGGCCGGGTCTGGCGAGTCGTCTCAACCGACCCACGCACCTCTCGAACCTGCGGACCACCCGCTCGATCTCCAGGCGAAACCTCGGCCACCTGCATGCCACGAACGAACGAACCGATCCTTTCGACCAGACCACGAGGAGTCATCGATTCTAAGCCCTGTCGCAACCGTTCGCCATCGCCGCCTCCATGTGGCGTCGACTCCCCAAGCAAACCGTGGCGGCGAGATACATGCAGGCCGGTTTAAAAGGAGCACGCGGATGGTCGTTCTCCGAGTCGTCTGACATGCCCACCTCTTAATCAGGAGGCGTAGCTGGCAGGCCACCCTGACTTCCCATCTCCCTTTTAGAGCACTCTCCTCCTGCGAACCCAACAGGACCACTGATCGATATTCCAGGTCCGACATCCACGGCACGGACAAAGGTACCAGATTTCGCCCAGACCTCGAGGAAGTCTGTGACGTGAACGGCCTCGTCGTGCCCCGGCGCTAGCGGGAGAAAGTGAGGCAAAGACATCGCACGACGGCCGTACCCGCCGGACATCCTCCCGGCAACCTTGCATCCCTTTGTGATGCCGTCGATAGAACCATCACTTTTGTAATGCTTCTTCAAAGTAAACTTGAAATTGTATTCGCCATCGTCGACCCACTGGACGATGGACCCTGCAAGACGCGTTCTGTTGACGCGAACGGCGATGAACAAGAGCGGCCCACACGGTGGTTGCAACGGGTCGGAGCCGTCCTGGCTCGCCCAGTCCAAATACCAGTCGCGTTTGCTGTAGTCGCACCACAAGTTTTGAGCACGTCGTTCTTCCTCCCCACCTCCAACTCCCCGACTCGTTTCCCTTGCTGGCGACGACGTCGTCCCTCGACGCTCCTCTCCGTGCGGGGCGGAACCACCAGCGGAGCGGCCTCGTCCGTGTGAAGCCATTCCCTGAAGCACACGGAGGAAATGAACCCACATTCACTCAGAACAGTCAGCACGTCCCAACATCAACCACGGCCCACAACACGTATTCTGTTATCGGTCACCCTAACTCCAAAAGAACGAAGTTCAGTCATAGTTAGACGACAGTGGTCTACAAGCCGACACGTTTCGGATGAATCCGAGGCATCGTGAGCCATCCTCGTCACACTGCCCCTAAGAGAATGAATGGTCGAAAACGAAGACCGTGGGATAGATTGGATACATCCGAAGCAGGCGCAGTCGAAAAACCGATGTCGCATAGGCACCTGCACCGGGAAAAGCAACACCTCGCAAGAAGGCCCTAGAATGCTGATACGGCAGACGAAGACAAATACGTTGTCATCCGAAGTCGACAAGTGGATTGTAAAGTCCGCCGTTGTAGTTCGGATGAATCCGAGCTCCAAAGCGGTGTGGACGTCCCCCTGTCGGCCCGTACTGAACTCGAGTTTTCTTGTCCTTCTGAGTTGGTAACGGTTGTGACTCGGATGCATCCGAATTCGAACAGCGCGGTCCAGAGACGGTCGTCGAGAAGAGGTCATCTACATCACGTGTTTTCGTCACCGACCTGCGAGCACTGGGTTAACCCTATCTTGCCGGAGGTTTGGTTCGGTTGAACCTGAACTTCGCAAATGTGGCTCGGATTAATCCGAGACGGGGACCGGTGGATGGACCCCACGGTCTGTTGACGCCCATCCAGCCATCCAAGCTTCCGTTATTCCCCAGCTGTCGTCGGGTCCAACCGAATTTCGCACGGTGTGTCTTCGTCCTTGAGTGTTTAAGACGGGTAGAGCTCAGATTTATCCGATTTCGACAGAGGCTGTCCCGATACGTGCGACCACGACAGGCTGCGCCGCGACGTACAAGTTTATCAGACCGTGCGACGTCGTCAATACCCTCTGCGCATGTGGTAAATCCGAAAATGCCACCAGTGTCGTTCGGATTAATCCGACTTGGCCGAGGCGCTTGCTTTGTTGTCGCCCCACCACACACCGGACCTCCCCGCGATTGCCATAGTGTGTCATTATAATTTGTGCGTCATCACAGGGGATATCGTCATCGTCGTGAGTTTTAGTTGGTTGTTGCTCGCCCAATCCAAACAACAGACACATTTGCTGTAGTCGCAACACAAGTTTCTAGCTCGTCTTTCTTCCACCGAGCATAACCATCTCGACTTGTTTTAGTTGCATGAATCCGAGGCAGCTTTCTGGAAGACGAAGACAGCGTGGTAGTTCAGAAACATCCGAACTGGGCAGAGTCGAAAGACCGACGTTGTGACTCGGATGCATCCGAATTAGGCCGACCACAAGAGGAGGACATCGGCACGGCGTGTTTTCCTCAATGACCTGTGAGCAGAGGGTGGACCCTATCCTGTCGGAGGTGTGGTTTGGATTAATCCGAGATGGAACGGTCTTTTGACAGCGTGTGATTTCGTCGTTCATGTTTATCGGAACGTGCGGCGTCGTAAATACCGTCTGAGCATGTGACAAATCCAAATTTGCCGTCAGTGTGGTTCGGATTAATCCGAACTTCGCCGAGGTGCCTCGGTTAGTGGTCGCCCGGTGAGTTTTAGTGGGTTGTGACTCGAATGCAACCGAAATTAACAAGGGTGGCTCAGATACGTCAGTTGTTGCGCCACCACAAGATGGTATGGACAGGGTGGGCTGTCGTCCTCCTGGTTGGTCAAACATGTCGCCGTCAACAATACCCTATGAGCATCTGATCGCTCTGTGTCCTGTTCTATGTCCAAGTCAGCGGAAGGGTTCCTCGCGGCGTTCGGCTGACGCAAGGTTTGATAGGGTTTAAAGATTTGAATTCACGTTCGCCTCCTGTGTTTTCGAATCTGTTGTAGCAGTCTTTGGATTACTGATCTGTGATTGCACTCAGGGGGGGACCAACCTGAGATCGGTTGAGCGACTGTCTGCGATACACAAAGATTGGAGAAAGGCAGAAAACCCGCATAGATACGGAAGGGAGACTAAGATTGATAGAGACGTCGACAAGGAGAGGATGCGCAGTGAGAGAGCCTGTCTTTAGCTTTCTATCTCTCCATGTGCAGATCCTGCGGATGTTGTTGTCCATTTCGGAATTCACAATGTGACCCATTAATAAAACGACACAAAAGAAATTTAAGCAAAAATTGTTCGTGTCGGCGAGAGGAAGATTGGCGAAAAATGTGAAAAATTCGACGAATGTGGAGGACATTTTACGGATACAGAACTGAACGCCGAGCGAACTGCACGACGCGACTTACGTGGAAAACGAATAAACAAACCGAGCGCAATAAAAATTTATTCGGCGAGAAGAAAGTCCATGTGCAATCCAGAAGAGACACGATTCATGAGAAACCATGTTCTTGTGTTCGACAACATACGACTGAAATCCTTATATCGCAGTTCGTGAGAGAGACAACAAATTGACGACAAGCGAGTAACACTTCAAGAAAACATATGAAGTGACGACACAATCTCGAAGTGCGTGTCGCAACATTCTCGGGCTGCATTCGCGGGTCCCGTTTCGTTGGTGACCACTCGCCCCTATCAGATGGCACACTCACATGTCCACGTGACAGCTCCTGAACATGCGTGGCGACGATCAGATAGAGCCCCGCATCCATCAGCATGACCACGCTTGTTCAGGACGTGACATGTGGACGTCTGAGTGTGCCATGTGATCGGTGTGAGTGATCGCCAATGAAACACATGCATTCTTGCTCCCGAAACTCCTTCATCTCGCCCCGATCAGATGGCACACTCGCACGTCTGCAGGTCATGTCCTGAACATGCGTGGCCGCACTGATGGGCGCGGGGCTATATTGGAGCCTCGCATCCATTCTGCTGCCGCATAGAGCCGCTTTGTCGCATAGAGCCCCGCATCCATCAGCGGGCCCACGCTTGTTCAAGACCTGCCACGTGGACGTGTGAGTGTGCCATCTGATCGGGGCGAGTGGTCGCCAATGAAACTAGATTCGCGAAAGCAGGCCGACAGAAAAGACGAACGACATAGAGGCACTGATAGAAAACTGATGACGATGGTGGTGGAACACGACGCTGTTGGTTCTGTCTCGTTCGTTTGTCTGCCCTTGTAAGTTATGTTCGCAAACTTTGTGCGAACGACACAGACCAGCGCAGTGAAACGAACGAGATAAAAGACAGAAAGAGAGATAAAGAGATAGCGAGAGAGAGAGAGAGAGCGACATAGAGGCGATCTCCGCCTTCATCACACGGCCCAATCAAACGTCACGATCAAATGGCCCCGAACGTCATAGACTCCTTATCACACATCGAACTCACCGAGAGAAATCCCTGTTGGATCACACGACACTGCTCGTTTGCGGCGACTGAACCCAATGTAATCGGCACCGCGTGAATCCCGACTACAGATCGCGTACATGTGTGGGCATTCTAACAGTCTACGCAAACCCAGCATGGCAGGACTTTTCAGGTCGGTGGAGATGGCGAGAGAAAGAGAGAGAGGGCGAGAGGGAGTGAGAGAGAG